GTTGGAGGTTCCAATGGGACACGGAGGATCTTACAAGCGTCATTGCATGAGCGCAAGACGCCGGGGACTGTTCATGTTCCCGCGTCCACTCCAACCGTAGCAAGCAATAAGCGTTGTGCCATTATTTGACCGGCATCGCCACCTACCCAGAATGAATGCAAGTAGCGACATCTATGATCCCATGGAATGGGTACTTACGTGCATCGCCAATAGGTGGCATGACTAAGCTCAGACGCCTAACACCAAAAGGGAATAAGATTGTAGGCCAGACTAAGAAAAAAGGCCCCAGTCCGAGAAAGCTCAGCTATCTCAGACTGACGGTGCTAGCACGATTACTCTATGAACAGACGAAACCGCGAACGAAAGCACATCGCGGGTCTAAAAGGACAGCAGAAATAAGCAGACACCCATTATCGAGGGTTTCACTGAAAGTTTCATGTCTATGTCTCTACGTCTGCTATTGGAGCCAAGCCCTTGCACTCCTTGTCAATAGGCAAACCGAATTGTACGCGTCAAGAGTACAACATTCTGTACATACCCTTGCTTGCCGATGGACGCTAAATCATCGAGACAAATGGGAAATGCCAGCAATCTCATCAATCAACCCCTTTAGCTGCATATCTGGGTGCTTCGACATCTGAATGCCAGCAATCGTTGATCTCAAATAGCTGTCGCATGCACAGAAACAGTTGCAGGGGATGGAACACCTGATCAAATACAACATAAGCCACCATGCAGCGTGTCGGCAGCAGAACAAATACATTCTTTGGCTCTTGTCAAGTGTGAATAGAACACACTGGCTGTCCTTTTAGTGACTTACCAAAGAGAAAGAATGCAGTGGTTCTATTTGAGAAGGTAGATAGTTGTGATGTTGCACTAATATAATGAAACATGCTAGGAAAGTCTCAGAGAAAAACTTTTCTGCACCAGCATCTTTATGTAACTGTCAGTCATTAAGTGGGCAGTACTCTTCTGGTCTATGCATTCACCTATAAAAAAAATGCAGTGAATGTCCACCAATCTTTGCAGCATTTCATGAAATGATGAAATATTGTCTATCCAGATGGCTCAATTGGTTAGTGCCTGCCCCCCCATCCACTGAACCAAGAGCACACGGGGGGGAATTGGGTTGCTTTATGGGCTCGCTATTTGCCATTCACAGCCATGAATAGCTGCTGGTGCCAGCGGCTGCAATAAAGATCAGATGAACTCAGATGGCAGGACAGATGGCACTCAGCATTGCAGCACAGCAAGCTTTTGCCACTAACTTCTGCCACTGACATGGTATTGCTTGTTTGGGGATAGGGGTCAGGGCTCACACAACAAGCACTACTTAGCATGAGCTCTGATACCAGAAATCCATCCATTCAAAGAACATGGACTAAATCTTATTCATGCCACAGAGCTTGCAAAGCCCAATACAAAATAGCCAATGTTGCCAAATCCACATTAAATTGCAGTGGACAGTGCCAACCTTGGAGGTACTTCAGCTCCAGGCCAAATCTGAGCAGGGATAGTGGCTGGGACATCTGGATGCCTCATGTTTGGAGGCAGGTGACAAAACAAGGGAATCTTTTAAGCATTCATTTATATAGTTCCCCATGGAAAGCTTCCAAATGCTTCCCTGGAATACCGATTTTACAGCCAAATAAGAGGAATATTATCCAGGTAGCCTCCTCTGAAGGAATAGACACATTTTCATCTATCTTGATCATCACTGGATTCTGTTATTCCTGATGGCAGAACCCAGTGAAGCCAATAGCATGGCATCATTGAGCCAGACAGCTCATTGAGCAATTCAGTCCCCATTAAATCTTCATTAATATTGCTTTGATTATTGCTTTTTTAAGTATGCAAGGCATGTAAAACTATGCAAATTTGCCAAAATATCAAATTCAATGTGCTTGCCAAACACAATTCTTGCAAAAATTGTCCGGTGTAAACAACATTCTCTCAGCGTGGACTCCGATCATGGAAAGACTCTGAAAAGTACATGCAAACTTGGGGATGTTCAAAAACTGTGGAATATCTTAAGACAGTTAATAGTCCCACCCCTGGTTGTGCTCAGGATACACTGGGTGAAATCTACTCCCCTTAGTTATACAATCATGGTATCACAAAAGATAGTGCCTGTTTGGCCACTTATTTAGCTAGAGGTGTGACATAGACAAACTTATTGCTATCCATAAGATGAGGCCTGGCACATTTGGCTTCAGGGCCTTCAAATATTTGAGAAAAATTTGCATAATTTGCAATCACACCTCAGCCTGATATGGTTGCAACTGTGCTCCTCATCATCCAGTCTGCAAAAGTCAGTGCCAGACATTTGCTGAATGTCCTGTGTGTACCAAACTAATGCCAGACAAAATTACACTGAAAATGCTTCTGGAGTATTTTTTGCATCAAATTATCACTACATCCCAACTTTCTGAAACATTTATTCTCTTTGTGCTGAAAAAGTTGCCAAACATGCTGGAAACTGCGGGCACACATATAGTTGATACACAAATTATACAACTCTCCATGCATGACATGTGCGCAATATAATACAATGCATGCATTACACAATGCATGGATGGCCATTGACCAGTTGCTCCTGGATAGTTTGTTTGGGTCTTTCGGGGCCTTAATACACTCAGCAGCTGAGACTACATGGCGTCGCCTGCTTCTCGTCTTGGGGCGAATGGCAGGCACCGCGGGGATAACCCGGTACATCCGGAAGGAATCATTACCGGCCACTTACCTAGAATGCAGGATTTAACACTTGGTTCGCAGGAACAATGACAGTGAGACCCAACCACTCTACACCCGTACGTGATTCCCACTGTCCACGACCAAATGGGCGCGGCGGGCGGCAACACAGGCGGAGGTAGTTACAAGGCCTTGCCAGTCTCCGATTTTCGAATTACACAACGTTGAGCGATATCCTACGGGAGAGCGCATTACTGAACCCAACAGCAGGAAGCATTTTCTTCGAACGTCGGGACGAAGTCCCGCGCATAACCGGAAAGCATTGAAATAAACTCATGCTCCGTAGGACTGCACCGCTACAAACGCATCAGATGCGCAGGAAATGTCTATAAATACGGTAGCCTACTGACCTCAAGCATCACCCAAGGTGCCAAAAAATTAGTCGCTGCCAGCACGGCCGAGACCCGTGGTCAATACGTGGACCTCGGGCGGACCGAAACCACCGCTTTTCTCACCGTCCACCTGACATGTTCATTCACATGGCCGGTGAACGTTCCCAAATCATTTCAGAATTTCAAGCTTCCACCCGCGCTCGCAAAGGTCTTCCACGTTCAGTGCAGACTCGTGTAGCGCATACCTGTGCACCTGACGTTAACGACCCGAGAAACGCATCGATAAACGGCTGCGTGGTTGAGACGACATCCTGTATTTTAAATCTATCAGCATTGCACCGGTACGGCGCACTATCCGGAATACATACGCATTGTGAGCGGTCACACCCATCGCGCCTTGTACTCTACGGCCTGCGGGTATGACTCACCAGACGGCGGCAGACATCCAACAACTCTACTCGGGGAGGGCCTATCGACTGCTGCGTTCGCGGCCGCATGCCAGCGCCACGCTCACCACCCGTGCTGTAATACTAGATGTGCGGCACGCAGCGCATCCAAAATAAAACAAGAAGCCCCATCGCCGCGCGCCAATCAACAAGCAGACCTCTCTCGCTCTCTCCCAGTATCACGTCAGTGCTCCGTAGTCGGCCACACTAGTATTGGGGTTGGGAGATCCGAAATCTGAGCCTTAAGTAGCCGTGGTCGATTGGAAGCGTTCGCCTGAATACCCTGTACGGCGCGAGGCGGCACTAGCAGCTCTGTGACGTCTGGTAGATGGCTCTCCCGCCCCGACCACGGAAGCGGCGCTCGCGACACACACAAACACGAGTCCCAGTCAGCCTCCATTCGACTGCAGTGGGTCCAGATCGTGGCGGTCGCTCTCTTTGTATCCCGCTGGCTGGACAGTGCGTGAGACGACGGGGACCAGCACTGGGAGGCCAGCCGGCGAGCTGGGCTTTATGCTTCGCCGCCTCACGCTGAGCACCGCCTCTCTCACGCCCTGCGGCCACCTCGCCAATCCATGAGAGACATACCGGGTACATTGCACGTCCCGCGGGGTCATGGGTGAGCTGGCGCCTCAGTCACATGCGCACACAAACACACACGCACGCAGGGGCAGCGCGCACGCCGGGCGGGAATGGGGCCGTATTGGCGCACGAGCGCCCACCAGGCAGAAACGACCTGGCAACAACCAGCACACAAAAATAGGTCAAAACGAAAGAGCTTTGTCACGTGCTAAAACAACTCTCGGTGGCCGGGCTGGCGGCGGCAGGCGGACGCGGGCGCGTGCGCCGGTCCCGGTCGCCGGGTAGGACCTGGGTGCCCGTCGTCAGCGAGACTCCGTGGCCGGCAGGCCCGCCGGGGCTGTGACGACGCGCCGGCACCACGGGGAATATAACCGAATCAGGTACTGACGTGGCCGCGCTGCGCGCCGGCAGCGGCGCGGGGAGCCGCCGCCACCAGCGTCCGGGGCCGCAGGCCGCACGGCAGCGCCAGGTCGCGGCCGGCAGACGGGCCGCTAGGGCGTGACTCGCGGTCCAGGCGTCCCCTGCGCGGTGTCCGCGCGGGGCTGACACTGTCGCCGAAGCGCTCCTCCCGAGTCTTCGAGTACGACGCGTGCGCGCAGACGGTTGGCGCCCAGGCGGTGTTCATGCCGAGGTGACGCAGCGTCCGTGGGCGCCCGCTGGAGCGCGGGTCGGTTGGCACGCCGTGACGCCGCCGTCCACACCGCCTCGGAGGTCTTCGCGCACGACGCCGCTGGCCGCACGGGTCCGTGGCGGGCGCCCTGATCAGTCCAGCGCCGGGGGCCGCCGTCCGCCGGACGCTGAGGTCTTCGCGTGGGGGCGCGGCCGCCAGCGATCTGCCGCCGAGGGCGCGGCGGCGAGCTGGAGCGCGGGCGCGGCCCGTGCGGGAGCGGAGCGCGTCCCACTCTGTCCGAACGGTCCGGCGCGGCGCCGCCTGTCGCGACGGCGGCTCCCCTCCGGCGGAGGGCGGCGGCCGCGCCGGTGGATACGCAGTGGGCTCCTCGGGACGGAGGAACGAACGCCCCGCGTGGTGGACCGCCAGCGCCGCCGACACACCGCAACAATGAGAATATCAGTTTTGATGTCTACGGATGATGCCTGAAACAAGACGGAAACGGTCTGTTCGCTGACAGCCGAGTTCAGATAGCATTCAGCGCAGAAAGACATCAAGACACCGAAACAGTGAACAACGAGACAAATTTTGTCCACGGAAGACAGGCAATATTGCAGGTGCTCATCGCATGAAAATGCGGACTATAGATATCACATCAACGGGCTTACAATCTTTAGGCTAATCCAATAAAACTAGGCTAATCCAATGAAACGGTCTGGAGCAACACGATCCCATGAAGAGCTTAGTGAACGCAACCGATTCTCATACACCAGGATCACTGCAATAACACTAAAATCCCCTGCAAACAATCCCGTACCTTCGCTAGTGTGGCTGAAACCATTTACATAAACGGCTGCATTCCCAGCCGAATTACCCACCGAATATTCATAGACGTCCAGAAACATAATCCAACGCCGGATCCCGAGAGGCTTGTTGACAGCACACACTGAACACCTGTGCTTGCCGTGCCGCACACGGCAGTAGCGAGTAAATGGGTTTAAGAGCGCCTCGATGGCTATGCCACGGAAGTACCGCGTTCAGTTCAATATGTTTAAAATGTTTCTTTCAACAGAACTGCATCTGACGCGGTACCACCACGGCCAAATTGGACACGATCTCGTTCCCACTGACCTGTACTCAATACCATGCAAATTTTACATGTACAAATCTCGACTTAAGTTTTCGGCACCATAGGATAGTAACACATTGACTAACCAGAGAGCAGCCGATCGCAGTAAGCCTACATGACCACAGATCAGTGATCATAACCCCAGATCAGCCCATACTTGCATTTGGTCGCTGTAGGGCATTATCACCGGGAAATAGTCTTTGGGCAACCTTGGGCACTGCGAGGCTGCCTGCGTGTTCGTAACTGTGTGTTTGCGCCTTAAGACACGGGGACACAAACCGTGTCTCCATGCGTAGGCGCACCAACTTTCCGCAACACAGGCAAGAAGAGGCATGAGCAGTCGCCAAAGACGCTACATGGAACACGTTTCTGTAGTGAAATGACCGTAAACAACGGCGATGGTGCACCGCCAGTCGGTGGAAAATAACACATGCCACTTCCATATGACAAAAATGCCACCGTCGGACTGAATGTGTCTGAAAGTTTTGCCAACGTCGGCACCGCACTACGAGCAGCGGAACAACGCCCGGCTAGCGTGCGTTTTGGAATACCATGGGTCTGGAATTATGCCGACCTTAAGCGACATTCAATACACCACGAGGTGCTGGTCAGACGACGTTACCGAGCGGGCATTTGTTACATAGCTGACCGCTTGACGCCCGGTGGGGCACCACCGAGCCCCGGACGGGCCCCGGCTGACACTGACCTGGACCGCATGCAGTACTACCACGTCCGGGTTAGATGCATGTTTCTGGAGAGCACCGAGCGCACGTCGGCGCAGAACCGCAGCGCGTCCAGCACCGGCAGCAGGTTCAGCAGACACGTGTCCGTCGGGTCGCTGAACCACGACTTGATGGGGATGGCGTTGTCTGCGGCGGGCGGAGGCGGCGTCCGTCAGCTCGGTCATCGTCCTGCTCACCGGGGGTCACGAGCCCGTGGCGCGACCGGAGCCGGCCGCAAGGAGCGAGTCCCACAAGGAAGATCAGGCGACCGGATTTGGGGAGCGGGGTAGAGGTGTAGGTGTGCATCGTAACAACTTCATTCACCGCCAGCTTTCTGAACACTAGCAAGAGATGGGAAATCCAGACATAGCATGAGAACAAAAACAAATCGAGGACGAATGCCAAACAACGCGCACAAATGGCATGCCGGAAATTCAGGAGTAGCATCCCGAAAACGAGGCATACCGATGAGCACATCTTTCCAATCTTCAGTGCTCCTACAGGTGTTCTATGAACTGCACTAAGCTTATCTTAAGACACAATCAAAGCGTAGTATGAGTTCATAGTTTTTATGCAGACAATTATCGAGCTCGCATGTCGATTAATGTCAACACAAAAACTCTGAACTCCTAATGCCAAAAACCAGGAGCTCAAGGCCTTGCTAGTTTATACCAAAATCAAAGGAGCAAACTGGATACTCACTGACGCGCAGGCGGTGACACAAGAAACTAAAAAGGTCCACCGTTCTGCGAAGGGGCCCCCAGAAATAGAGCTTAATATATGGCAACAACACGACTATTCACATAACAAGCACACACACTGAGGACTGTTTTGCAGATAGTTGTGAAAGCAAATAAGCCTATTACAAGGCACCTATCTGCGTATGTAGTTTAAACATAAGGTAGTCTGGCTACCGCCGCCGCAGATACGGCCCAAATCCAATTTTGAGTGTCACTACCCCAGAGGGACTTGGCGCGCCCAAGTGGGGCTTCGGGCGCTCCCATGCATCCAGGAATCAGCCTGAGGTCAGTAAGTAATGTTGCAAGCCATCAACCACCGCACGGTCCCCGCCGCCACCCTGCCCGGCTTCGTGCAGTAGTATGATGAGTTTATCGTGCGGGGGAGTGAAGCAAAGTCGCGCTGTAGCGTTTCTGAAACGATTTCAGAAAGGCGGCGCCTAGCGAGACGATCGGGCGGACAGTGTAAGGCAACATGGGTCATATTTGAAGGGGGAAAACCACATGGCATAATGGATCGTCAATTATTTAAATTTCGCAGCTCTAAGCATTCAAGGAAGACATGCCAAAACGAAGCGTGTTGTGGATAGTGTTACCCGTTTACCTTGGCGGTCACATCGTGGTAAAGCTTCAACTGGGTCTCTGGGGCAGCGCGCGCTTAAATTTTGGCGGTGAAGTCACGGCCCCGCTGTGTAGAGGGGGCAGATTCCAACGTTTAATGGCGGCTGTACGCAGGAGCGTTGAAATGAGGTGGTTGTGATCGAGCGTTTGCATTGAGCGATGTTCTACCTGTGTGGAGTTGTCGTGTGGCGGGCACGATACATGTTATAACAATGGGGTAGTGTGGCTGTGCGTGTTTCGGAGCTTGAAACACAGGGTTAGTCTGTGTGTACTGCGTCCTGTGTCGATCGAGTCCCACCCATTTCACGTCCTGAGTCTGTGAGTCGGCGCTCGGAAATATGCTCCTGTCACTGGTTCCGCAGCCCTGTTTTGAAGCCGCTGAAGACGAAGTGAGTGAAGAAAAGAAGAGTGAAGTGAAGTGAAGTGAAGCCAGTATGTCGCAGTGATGTGTCCGCCGCACACTGCGTCGCAATAATCAAAGTAGAGCTGGATGTGTGTGGTGTACAATTCAGCTAGAGCGGACCTTGTAGTGTGACGTGCTATAGCATAGATGGGGCCGATCGCCTGATCTACATTTTTTACTCTTTGCATGTGGTCGTAAAAGCGTAAGTGTTTAGAAAAAGTTATCCCCAATGTTTGTGGATATCTTAGTTGGAATGGGTTTGCCTCCAAAAAGGAGCTTAGGTGTAGGTACGTGGACAAGTTCGTGAACGCTCGCAGTACTGTTTTGCCCACATTACAGTGTTATTACGTCACCGTATTAACAGCATTAATCAATTGAATATGACGGCCCACTCCGTATCACATACAAAAGTTTCGTCGAAGTCTTGTTGCAGTGGTCCTTGTATCACATCTATGTTGCCTGGGATATAAGTCGTGTGTACAGCGAAGCGCCGTCAGCAACGAGACGAATGGCATGCACCATTTTATGTGAAAGTCCTAGAGACATGGGGGCAGAAAACGGGCCAAACACCGCCTTTATGGGCACCCTGCATTGATGGTCTCTGTCGTCAAAAATGCGTCCCCACTTTAACTCGGTGCGTTCCGTTGCTAAGATATGATTTGAACCGACAGAGAACGTACCAGGTATGCCGAAATCGTGCTTAGCTTGTTAACGAGACCTATGTGCCAGATCGTGTCAACATATTCTGATGTCTGAATAGATAACTGTGAAGCCTATTCTTGAGTCCAGTTTGATGCGAGCTGTGTGAGAGGTACATGAGATGTAGGAGTGCGCTGTGATGGGTCAACAAACGCTCTGTCGTGTCATGAGCAAGTCGTTCGTGTTTAAGTGAATCCACTCACGCAGGACGAGAGCGCCGGTCCCCAGACTACCGTACCCCCCTCCCCTACCCCCAGCTGTGCTGCTGACCGCCCTCCCCTGGTAAGCAGTAGATCTATCGCACCGAACGGTGCGCCGCATCTGCCCGGCACGGCGGCCAGCGCTGGGACGGAGGCCGGCGGACCAGTACCCGTCCGTCTGGAGCCGTCACTGGCGCCAGGACAGAGGCTGGCGGACCAGTACCCGCCCGACTGGAGCCGTCACCAGCGCCGGGACAGAGGCCGGCGGACCAGCACCAGTCCGTCTGGAGCCGTCACCAACGCCGGGACAGAGGCCGGCTGACCAGCACCCGTCCCTCTGGAGCCGTCACCAGCGCCGGGACAGAGGCCGGCGGACCAGTGCCCGCCCGTCTGGAGCCGTACCTGGATAGGCGCGGTAGGCGCCGGGCGAGTTGTCCAGTATGAAGACGCCCGATATGTCGGGCGAGATAGCCGACAGGTCCTTGGTGTAGCTGCCGTACTCGAGCGTGCAGTGCTGCCGGTAGTAGCGGCGCGGCAGGATTCCGCGCCCGTTGTCCAGCCGCTCCACCACGGCCGCGCCGTATATCTCCATGCTGGCCGTGAACACCACCAGGTCGTACCACTGCGACGTCTGGCGACGGGTCAGGCCGAGTCAGACGGGGTCAGGCAGGGGTCAGGAGGGGTCAGATTGTATCCCTGCAACGTCTGGCGACGGGTCGGACGGGATCAGGAGGGGTCAGACGGGGACCAGGAAGGGTCAGATTGTACCATTGCAACATCTGGCGACGGGTCAGATGGGATCAGGAGGGGTCTGACGGGGGCCAGGAAGGGTCAGATTATATCACTGCGACGTCTGGCGACGGGTCAGGCCGAGTCAGACGGGGTCAGGCTGGGGTCAGGAGGGGTCAGATTGTATCACTGCAACGTCTGGCGACGGGATCAGACGGGGTCAAATGGGGATCGGAAGAGGTCAGATTGCACCACTACGGCGCATGGCAGCGCGTCGGGTTGGGCGCAGACAGAAAAAGGTTCGATCCTCACAGTGCGACGCCTGGTAACGGGTCAGACGGGGTTCAGACTGTGACGCTGCGACGCCTGGCGGTGTGTCGCGTGAGAGCCAAACACCTCAGGCACACATTAAACAGGCCCTCAGGTACCGTCGCATGCCTGGTGGTGGATCAAACAGACGTCAAAAACGACCGACGAACCAGACAATGCTACTGCGACGTTTGGAAGCAGGTCAGTCGACCAGATAGGGGTTTACAGGGTTAGAGAGGTCAGAGGTGTTACGCAGGACCCGTAGGTGGCCATGATGTGGCGCTACGGCGTCTGGCAGCCAGCCACACAGGAGAAACATTAAAGATGGTGGCGTGCACCACTGTGACATGCAGACTGGCGGGTCATTATTTTTAGACCGGATAGGGACCACAACAGTCCCAGAAGTCAGACCTTGCCAACTTGTCACACATGGTGGCAGACCAGGCCGGCCAGACGTGAGCTACACATGCTAGGTGGCGAGGCAGGTCAGACTGTACAGCTGTGATACATAAGGGCGGGTAACGCGAGTCTGAGGTGCATGGGAAAGGTCACACCGGAGGAACGCATCAGCCAGGGGTCATCGAGTTTAAACAGGTCAAACCGCACCACTGCCTGCCAACAGCACACTGATGCGCCCAGTGACTGAGTCGCAGACAATGGGAAGATCCCACGGCACCATCCACCCGGGCCGACTAAATCATCCTGACATGTCGCAGGTGCCACGCCACATACAGCCACCTGGTCCGTCGGGTCCCATGACAACTGCGGCCGCGCGGCTCGGCACACATGAGCCGTTACACAGCAAAACACGGACTCGCAGTAGGACCGATGCGCCTCGTTTCCCGCAACACGCGCACCATGACGCAACACAAATGAAGAATGATTTTATCACTCTGTCCCGGCGGTATTGAGTGACACTGCAATCTCACTGATCAACATCACGTCCAAGAACAGGCTCATGGGCACATTACGATCAGTGGCATATCGCCGCGAACCCAGCTGCTGGTGCCGCCGGCATGTCATGGTCACGCGGCCGCACAAATGATAAGACCTTTACCGGGGCTGTGACACGGTGAGCGCATGCACCATGAGATAAAACAACTCGGCAAGATACGCCTGGCGTAATCTGCTCGTAATGGAGAGGCAGGAGTATCGGCCTATCGGCCTATCGGCCTTGCCCTCCAGCCCAGAGAGCCTTTCAAGGCGGGCGTAGGCTTCAGTTATCAACAACCTGATTTGGGGTGCTGCATTCAAAGTGTACGAAAATCGCTACAGGGGTCATCATGACTGGTGTGGCTCAAGCCATCGGTGGGCTGAACATATATCTGTCCGTCGGCGCGAGTACTGAGGGCATGAGGGCGGGGCAGACATGAAACCTTTGCCGGAATGGACTTACCCACACCAATGGCATACAACGCATGCCTTTGGCATCCTATCATTAAAAACAACATCGTTCCAAGTCAGATGATCGCTGCCAGATCCTTGTTTGTCGTGCGACAACTGTGTCCCGTCGCATACACGCTCTTTTCCGCGCCCTTTCGCTGTGATAAATAGTGTTTCAGACACCAGACATTACTTCCGCCAAAAGCCGATCAACGGTCAACGGCAAACGGTAAGCACACACAAGTCAACGGTAAACAGGTCCGAACAGTAAGCACATCGCTGGATACTGTGCCCCGCTGAGGCAACACGCTTTCACACCCTGGACTTGTGCGTAAGGAAGTCAGTTGATTATCTTTTGCTCTCGTTGAACGACTGCAGTTTGTGCCATATCATACATGATAGTAAAGAAAAACAACTACACGATACGTGAACTTTCGATAGCGCCTCAGTTATGGAACTTATGGACTTCACAATTGAGAGGGGTACAACATGCCCGCCACTAGCAGCTGAGACGCCTCCTTCCTTGAGAAGCTTGCTTCCAAACCCATGGACGCTATAATTATCTTCACCCTACGGTACAACGGATGCAAATGCGTGGGATCCAACCGATAGACAAGCGCCGCCAGCAACATGAATACAAAGAACACACCGCATGCAGTACGACAAATACGCACTGACACAGGCACGATGGCACGATGGTCAGTTGATGACGATGTTGATGATTTGGGCTTACGACTATCAGTTGCGCGGCCCATGACCACCACCCCAAGATGAGGACTACACAGAACACATTTTACGCACGCGCCATCCAAGACCGCTGTGCCAGACGTGGCAACCAGAGCCGCACGCAGCTATCTTATGCACGCGACATCCACGATCACTGTGCCAGACGTGGCAACCAGCGCCGCACGCAGCTGGTCCCGCTACCGTGATTCTGTTAGCTGCCATCAGCTGCGATAGGCCCCTCCGTCTGATATTTATGACACGTATCTGTACCTCCCCCCCCCCCCCCCCTCTCACGCCGAGTCAACAAAAACATGATTGGGCTCGTCTTTTAGCTCTGCTGATGTGCGCATCACGACGTCGCGATAACATTAACCGGAACGCCGGAAGACTGAGCATGCCGGCATGTTGTTAGTACAGTTTGAAGGATTACGTCTTCAAGAAGTCCGTCTCCACAGTGTAGCTAGTACCGCAAGGACCGCATGTGAGATATGTTATGTCTGGCCTCCAACCAACTGATTAGGCTGCCACGGAACGCAAATGTTTACAGACGCCTTCTACGATTTCGAGGTTCATATCGGAGCACTTCGTTCCATTAACATTTCACGTGGATTGCTACGCTCGACACCCACCCCGGACACCTCATACTACGCAGCTGAATAAACGTCAACAGGACCCGGCGGTTTTACCAGTCCGTCTGTGCTGCTCTGTTTACAGCCAGCGTTCCTTCGCAGCAACAGCCCGTCGTACGAGACCGGTGCGCTCGCCAAGCCGCTTGGGCCGATACCAGACGAGTCGACGTGCGGCGCACACAGCGGCTCGTCCGACGGTGACATCACGCACAGCTCGGGGAATCGACGTCACACCACTCGCCGCCGAGCTGATAGCGATCGTAAGAGCAGGGATTACGGACGGCCCGCGGCGTCACACCAGGTTTGAGGACCACTCACTGAGGCACGCGGGGTTTGAGGACATCGACAGACACGCGGCGCCATCTGCAGGTCGCGCCCACGTCGTGCGCCCGCGACAAGACTGAGTATCGGGTGCGAACGGTTGTGTTTACTGGAGATACGATGCAGCTGCGGTGACCAACACGTGGAAAGCCTGGTAGGAACGCGACGCGCGATGACGAACATATTTGATCACATGAGATGACACACTTCACATGTTCACATTTCTGTTCGCTGCATGTCCGAAGGCATCGAACAAAAGTAGACATTTGGTCTATGTAGCTCATCAATGGTGGGATATTTGATGTTGTAAGAACCGCTGACTGTCAGACACATTAACCGCTGCTGCTACATGTATCACTAAAGAATGGCAACCATGAAATTTGTAATCGGATAACAGAGCAAACTTACACCCAACTGTCTCAGGAATCAACCCAGTCACTGCACTCTTTAGTACACATCTTTAGGCTCAAAACCAGCATCTGCCGCCCTCCAACGCCCGACCGCAGGCTCGTTCAGAGCCTCTGTACAGCCCCAATCTGCCAAAAGTTACAAGCCCGCCTCTCGCCTACTCCCATTTTCCATATCTGCCCCATCCCCACCCACATCCCACATCTGCACGGGCATCCCAAATCGCCTCCACATCCTACATCCGCCCCCACATTCCACATCCCGCGACGCATAATGAGCAGCGCAGAGACGCGTCCGCCTGTCCACCAGATACCGCGCACGTCACGTTTTCGTACCACGTATGTTTCAGTCCCACGTTTTCGTGTCTCATTCCTCCACAGGCACCCCCTTCAGCCACGACACCGTCGCAAGTGAAGCGCCACCCTCGCGACCGACCGCGAGAAGAAGCCTCGGCAGCCTGTCGCGCCCCGCCGCCGGCGCCGCGCGCTCTCACCACTTGAAGGAAGAAATCGACGTGCGGCCGCTTGTGGACGAAGAAGCGCACCGGGTGCCGGTCGATGGTGACCCGGAATATGAAGTCGGCCGGCGTGCCGGGCTTCACCGTCTGGCGCAGCACGCCGTCATGGTGCGAGTGGATCAGCGTCTCGTCCAGGTCCAGCACCAGCGTCTTGCGCTGCACCAGACCTGCAGCGGACCGGCCGCGGCGTCACCTCCCGAGGGCAGGGCCGGCAGCGCCCACGGGATATCACGACAGACAGGCTGGGAGGGTTCGTGACGTGGATGATGGATGTCAGAGCTCGTTCAGATTTGAGGGGAGAGGAGCAGCAATTTTCTCACCTGCATCGCTGTAAAGTACTGAGAAAATGTACAAATAGACGGAGGCGTCCTGATTCCCTGTCCCCAGGAACCTCAGATTGCTGCAATGCTCACACAACATGGCACGTGGCGTTACGCATGTTAACATACATCAGGATGAAGCTGTGAGGAGATTCACATGGCAGCCACAACAAGTGGGCAGGAATGTGGGGTGGGGGGGGGGGGAGGGGGCTCCCACATGATGCCATAAGTATGGCTGCGGGCAGTGAGATAATAGCCACATAGAGTTATTCTTTACAGGCAGGCAAGTGTGTCTGGGCCTCTGGAAGTGGGCCCCATGACTGAACAGAAACATGGTTTGGAATTACCTCAGACCACATCTTACCAGTGGGTGCAGTTGATTATTCATATAGCAAGGCATGGCTCACATGCCACAAGTCAGCAACAGGTATCCAGCATGAGCTGAATAAATGACAACATTGGATGATGTGGTTACACTATCAACAACTGATGAGTAGCTCAGCGAAGCCCTCACCATAGGCACATCTCTAGACACCACATAACCCGAGTTCAGAGTGGTAATGATAGCCTGTGATCACTTACTGATTCTGTGTCTGGACAGTGGTGACAGTGGGCACATTTCATATCGGACAGCCTGGTGCTGCATGATCTGCAATGGAGAAGAGAAGGCATGTCAGTTTTAGTTTGTGCAAGGTATCCAAAGATGCATCATGATGAGAGATCATCCTGATCAAAGCAAATTATCATAAATCAATCCATCTATTACAGACACAAAACAAAGTAGCAGCAAAAACAAAATAGCTCCTTCAGTTGCCCTCACTACTATCGTCGTCGCAGGGGAGACATGGTAACTGTGTACCAGCTGTTTCACGGAGGCATATCGCTATCGGAAGAGGAGTTCCTGACAAGACACAACTCGGAGGTGACGAGAGGACACCAATGGAAGCTCAGAAAACCTCCAGCTAGGACTCTCGTCCGTCGTAACTCATTCAGCACGCGGGTTGTCAACTGACTGGAATACTCTTCCACATCCGTTCATGTCATCAATCTCAGTTGAACAGTTCAAATCTAGGCGGGTTGTCAATGACTGGAATACTCTTCCACATCCGTTCATGTCATCGATCTCAGTTGAACAGTTCAAATCTAGGCCTGATACACACTGGGCTGACATCATGTACGACGTCCCACACTGAATCTTTCCATAATTCGAGACTGTTTGGTTACCGGACCGGGAGCCTGACGAGACCGGGACCTACAGGCCTAGTGGCATTTTACAATTCCCGATCACCACAAGGTAAGGTAAGGTAAGCAATATAAGGAATTATAAGGCAACAAATTATGCAGCATTCAAAGTGGCATGCAAATAATAATATAAAATGGCATGCATAAACCTAACTACAATCATAATGCCCTGGAAGGGTTTGAGAAAGTTGCATGCAAGTGCTCTGTCTCAAATTTGGCACAAGACTGGTTGAGGATGACTATGTGATGTATGTGACTATGTGTGACTATGACTATGTGTGAATGACAAACACCTGCTTAAAAGACTGTATTCAACAGCCCTCCCCCTCCCCAAAATGGTCTTGATTCCCCAAAATAGGGTTCACAACAATTGCTGTGACTGCAAAGTAGTGAAATGATCCCAGGCAGCCAAAGAGCAAATAGGTGACAACAATGCTTACAGCAAATATGGGCCAGTCAGAGCATAGGTTATTTGAGTACACAGTAGGCAATTTGGCCACATTTACCAAGGCAAAATCTACCAAAGCATGCCAAATAAACCATTGTTAAGACTGATATGATCCACTCACCATGTGGCTCAGCACCAGGGATTCATTTGGATGGCCCCAGCCCCCCTCCTCTCAACTTTGGGAGGGAAGTCAACCATATCTCGGAAGTGACCTGCTTTTAGTCTATTTCAGGCTATGCTTGATCATCTTTTGCTATTTAATCATCCAACCTATTTTCTAAAAAAATGACACCTCTGCACAGTAACTATACATAACAGAGTGATAAGTACTTGCATTATCATCAAGTATACATCATCTGCAATCTGCAAGAATAGGTAATGCATCTCTTATCTTCCAGGAAAATCAAGTTAAGAGCTTCTTTACATATCTCATTTCTTCTTAATGCACATACAATCACTTAAAAATAGCTATAACCTATGGCCCCAAAATTGCATTGAGCAACTTGTGTTAACTTGGTACCACAGCTTCCTATATCTTACAGAGTAAGGGCTGCATCCCTTTCCAGAATACTGTTAAGATTCCCTACCTTGTGTCATGGTATTTTGTATCTTGTACTGGCTACTTCAGGTATCCAATATAATTCCAATCTATACTTTTAGTTTTAAGCCATGTTTTGTCTACAGATTTCACAACTGCTGGCATACCACCATACACTGATGAAGTAGACTCAGAGCCAGCCTCATAATGTGATACCTGAACCTTGAATTAATGCACGCAGACAAACATGAAAACAGTAGATAAAAGCAGCCTGAACTTTACAACCAACACTATGAATCCATTAAAAGCAAAAACAAACATTGTGGTAGGTGGTCAATTAAACAAGTACTTAATTAGGTCACAAGAACATTTACTGTCTGAGACAGTACTAGCACTGAAACGAGCTTAACAGAAGCAGGGATAATTCTGTGAGAATACTTACTGCTCTGGCTTGTTTCCTGAACATGTAGCATATAATTCCCCATAGCCTGGCTGCAAACGAGACGAATGCCCGAAACCCCATTTCCAGCTGCTTCCACATTGGAACTTCTAATTTCTTGTACGGAAATCAAACTTCCCCTCGCCGAACGATGTCATGGGGCCTGAGCACGACGATCTCTATTGGTACAGTTGAAAAGAAGCAAATGAGATTGCACGGCACCGCGACTCAAATCTCCATTCAACAACCGCCGACCGCATCCCACACGCTCCAACACGGCTATTCAATCCAGCCTGAGCCGTTCAACACACCAGCCCGGGTGAGAGACCGATATCTACAAGGGATGGCAAATGGTTGAGTTTATGCTAGATTTACAACAGCTGCCTAGGCAATTGTCAATCCGTATTGCATACGCTATAGGATTAACCCGTGGAATGATAAACAAAATGTGTAATATGAGATGGAAAGCCTGGAATATTTTTTTTAAATATCAAAAATTTAAAATTAGAGCAGAAATTTACATCTTGAACATCATTCATGAGCAAACTAAGGTGATATGTATGAATAGAGCTCCTTCCATGGTGGATCACCAAGACCATTCAGCTGACTCGTCAGGGAATAGGTTTTCTTCGAATATCGCATTTATCGTGGGAAGACGATCCCAGCGCATATTTCAGTTACGACGCAGCTCGGAGCCCAGGGCAAGGATTGTTTAGTTTTCGGTGGATGTGATCGGGTCCGTGGGCTGGGTCGACGGCCGGCACTCTCTGAATGCATGCATGTCGGGATGTATTGATATTGATTGCTATCACCATTAAACGCAAAAATTACACGTTTTTTGTGGGAGTAATGAAACAGTTTGTCAATTTAAATTGCGAGCTTGATCTGGGGCGGAGCGATTTGTAGAATGGAATGCGTTTACCGTTTGTGTTGCATGTAGTAATGGACTGATTTGCTTTGCTTCTGTGGCGCCGTGGCATGTGCAAAGGAAAGCCTTTTTGTCCTTTCAGGAGTCATATAAGACCTGTGCACTTGGTGGCACATCTCATGCACTGTGCTTTTTCAGATTAAGTAGTTTATTATGCAGAACAAGGTGGTAGTCACAGAGTTCAGCAAAACAAAATCAATGCAGGTGCATATTAAATCTGAATGTCTTGATTTTTGGTGTAGTCATTGCTTACATTTGTGCATGGATGGTTAGTGTTCCACAGAATTGATTGATATAATGATGCCCAATCTTGAGCAAAGATGCTTCAATATGCCCTAAAATGTTAGTTTCAAATAGAAACCATGATTCAGGACAATTTAGCCTGAGTTTCATCTGTCACATACATATACCCCAGGTTCAGGAAATCATTGTCACTAGGCACCTTGTACAGCATAAATATTTTCAGACTAACATCCATCTCAAGTAGTTTGCAAATGCATTGGTTGTCTGGCTAGGATATTTGAAATAACCTCAAAATAGAACAAACCTAGAAATATGGAGGAATAATTGCAGGCTATCTGTTTCCAGCACCATTGCAATATTTGGTCACTTGGGTGCCAGAGATATCAATATTTATATCATGCTTGTACACATTGTTGCCTGTGGCCCCCCCCCCCCCTTCTTTTGCTCAAAATTGATAACTCATCATCAAACCGGAAGGCACTCAGTCCAATATCCAAGTGTCTCAGGCTTGACAAGTGGGTTGGGCATGCCAGGTGTTTAGGCTAGGGGCAAATAGCAACAGATTAGGTGCTAACAGGTACATGGCAGTCTCATGGGGGTCAGGATTGTCATACCTTGCCAACTGTGCACAAGCTCCTATGCTTCTGTTTTCAGGTTATGCACAATCTTCTAAATTGTGCATAATATGATTCCTCTACAGAAAATGATGTGTTTGTACACATGCCATTAAGAGAATGGCAGGCATGAACAGTGGTAGATGACAGTGTTTATTGGCCTAGATCTGATGCTTTGGCATGTCATTTTTGGTCAGATGTGGTCATTTGGCATACCATTTGTCAGATCTCAATAGCTCCACCTTTCAAAAGCAAAGCAAAAGAATCACAAAATTACAACATTGTTGGTCAAAATTAGTGGTCATTTGGAAACCAAGGAATCCAATTACACATCTGCTTTCATGAAAAGTCACAAATTTTGAGATATATTTTCTTACATTTTGATGCTGGAACTGATATGGTGGACACGCACCATCACAGATTCATTGTGTATTGGCATAGGGCATGAAACTTTCAACCTACATGCTTAACTTCCACTTCAGTTATTGTTTGCAAGGTGTGCAGATTTGTCACCAGCTTAGCTGGTGGCTATAACCTAACTATGTATGTCTATAATCTAACTATGTAATGCATTGTGAAGTGATCAACTTTTGTTTATATGGTGATTTAAATGACACATATTGACACTGTATAATAACATTGTAAACATGGATGCATAAGGTCATGCAGTTTGGTGTATTTCATATCAACCATGCAACCTGATCTGACTCAGATAGGGTGCTTGGATTTATGCATGCAGCCATCAAGGTGATATCAGATTGTGATGCTGGGGGTTTAGTCTTTGTTGCCATTGTCATATTGTTTTTGTATTGGTCAGTATCCTGATTGTTGGGATGTTTTTCCCATTGTTTGCCAAAAAATTGTTTCTTTTTCAAGTCCTCCTAGATCTACACATTGTTTTGTATTGAGCAGGAATACCACAACTTGCATGCTGTCTACATGCTTGCCAACATAATTTTCCACTTATTTCAGGCCTTCTTAACCAAACATTGAAGACCTGTGCTTTCCACACCAACTGCTTTGGACTGCTGTATATGCAGCTGGGTGCAAGCCACCATGGCAGATAGTGGAGATGATGCTTCTCTTACTGCCTTGGAGCTCCAGGCACTTTCTGAACTGGACAGGTATTTAGATAAACACTCCAGCAATATGTTGAATGCTGCCATTTTGTTTTCAGTTTGTTTTTTGTATCAAATAAGTGTCGTATTGTACCCTGATAGATTGGTACCAAAAAACTTGTATTATATTTTGCCTACATGACATGTGAGAATGGAAATGAGAACAAATGGATGACATGTGAGAATTGGTACCAGAAAACTTCTATTATATTTTGCCTACATGACATGTGAGAATGGATGGAATGGAATGGAATAGAATAGCAACTGGAAACTGAAGCTGCACTCAGAAGAACATTTACAGTGTTTGTCACCATCTTGATCATGAGAAAGGTGTTTGTAGTAAGTGTGTCTCACCATCCTAATGCAGGATCAACCTCCAAGCCCCATCACTTGCAGATAATGCAGTATGTCATAAAAACCTGTAACTCTACACTGGCCATGGATGTTGAAAAGTACTGTTATCAAGGATAGTTTTCATTAAGGAATTAGTGTTTGCCACTGTACTCACTGGCTTGACCGCTGTAATCAGAACACATGTGGACATCAGAGTTGCGCAAGAGGCAACTTTGAAGAGTTGTTCATGTTTCTTAGGTTCAGACTATCAATGTGATGAGCCTGCTACCTTGTTTTGGGATGTACTGCAGCTGCAGCCTTCAGAAGCATGCAATCAAATGGGATCTAGTTCCAAATGAACATTGAAAGCTAACCTCAGTGCTGCACATATAGGCTGGCAACTTAATGACATGTGAAAAGAATTGGTGGCAACCAGAGGAATGTATGTGCAAAAACGTTTCTTTGTGTGTAGTCCATATCACCATTTCTTAATATTATGCTGTTTTCAGTCAGCAGTTCGGTTTCCTGAAATTGAATGAAGCTGAGAACTCGGCCAAGAAGTTGGTCGTCCAAAAGGTAAGCTTTTTTCTCCTAGCGTCGTGTCCATGACGGCAACCAAGCAGAGTGCCAAACAATTGTTCATGAATGTGGTCACGAAATATGTGGACTTGTTAGCTGACCTGTTTATTTTCGTGATTTCTTGAGTGCCATTCCCCGACTTGTGATATTTAGTCAGGATTACAATTGGCATGCAAAGATGGCATGACAACAACAATTTCGCCACCAGCGTAGCCGCCGTACGTTCAGAACCCACACTTCTTCGCGAGTCTGTGAACCCGACCCCTCCTCACCGAGTACAGCTCGTGGTGGGCCTTCCCTCGCGCGCGACAGCGTCCTCCACCCCGCCCACAGGCGATCCGGAACCTGGAGCAGGTGCTGATCCAGGCGCAGAAGCAGCGCGAGAAGAACCGCGCGCGCGCCGACCGACACGCCGACGCCGAGCCGGGCGGCGCCGGCGCCGTGACCGAGCGGCTGACGGCGCTGGCGGTGAGCCCGCCGGCGGGCGGCGCCGTCAAGCTGGAGCCGACGGAGCCGGGTCGGGAGCCGGCTGCGGCGGCGCCCGCTGCCGGAGCCGCCGCGGCGTCCGCAGCGGCGCCCGCGGCCGCCGCGGCCGAGCGCATCAAGCAGGAGCCGATGGAGACGGAGAACGGCGAGGGCGCGGCGGCGGCGGCCGAGACTCCGGAGGAGGAGGACGAGGAGACGCCGCGCCAGATCCACGTCGATCCGCGCACCTACTGCAAGCTCGGCCACTTCCGGCTTCTGCTCGAGGACTATGACAAGGGTGCGTGGCCTGAAGGGGAGGGGGGGGAAGGGGGGGGGGGGGGGTCACGGCGGGACTGGGTGTGGTGTCGGGCGGCGGGACGGCGCGCGGTTGGGTGCTGTGGGAGGCGCTCATGTTTGCAATCCCCACACTGCGTAATGCCCCATATCGCCCTCAGGTGTAATGTGAGAGACTGGATACGGCGGAGGGGCATTGGACCAGTCGGCGAGGCAGAGGCTAGACTTTAAGTCAGTGCCGCGTCAGCTCAGCGTGGGTCTTTTGTAAATGAACCGCTCGCGAACGACGAAGAAGACCGTACGTCCAATCAAAATTGGCTTGCAGACGAAATTTTCAGTGCATTGAACATGCTGTTCGTTTTGACTTGAGCACTGACACCCGTATTGACTTGACATTGTCAGTTGCTCGGTGCTGACGGGGCCAGTGAAGGTCTGCAGCCAAAACGTGGTCATCTTTGAGTCTTGCCATCTTGGAGCACACGTGGCCGAGCACAGGGGTGCTGGCAGAGCACAAGTCTGATGGCGGCACTGGGGAAGTGGTAGCATCGATGGGGGCTTATGAAAAGGCACGGCTCGGAGCTGCTGGTTGGCAGCAGGTGGAGCCCTTGAGCGTCCGATCGCTTATTTGCGCACGCGTGCTTGCTTCGCGTCCATTCTGTTTTCAGTGTGACATTTTAAGGCAAGTGGCAATGCCCGTCTATTTGTTACGGTAATGAATCAGGCCCACCGCATCTCACTTGAACAGAGATTGCTCAGTTTGAGCCTCCCAGTATGACCCGTTCCGATGATGACGCTTGCTAGAAGCTAGATACTTCACATCCACTGATGGTGGTTTCAAGCACTTTTCCGCGGTTATGAGTGCAGTTTTTGAAAAGCTGTATGGTGTGAGCTTCATGACATTAGTTAACCAGCTGCCTAACCATGGGCGTCTGTTCTGCGACATTGCCATGCGGTTGCCATGCGTCGTTCCCATTTCGATCAGCATGGGAAACACAGTCTGTTACCCATACGGGAGCTGTACAGCAGTGTCGAGACCCGGTTCAAATGTCGACAGCACGGCATCGCAGCGGCACGACTCTGATAGTGTATTGAGGGATGGCGGGGAGCGTTTCAGTAGCAAGCGGGCTACAATATTAGCGAAGGCGTGGGTTGGTGTATGCAGCCAATGGCGTACACTCGGGCGCTAACCCCGGATCCAGCTGTTTTGTTTGTGTTCGTAGGGATCGATGTGAAAACGCTGCAAGTGAATCAGATAAGACGTGCAGCCAACCATACGTTGGAACAGAATTACACTTTTAGATACCACCATTGTAGCAGAATGTACCGGTTTCACAAATGTGTTTAGGTTGCATGTTGATTTCACTGAACACTGTCCGGCATGTTACACAAGCAATGGACCTGGAAGTGCCCCTGGCACTTCTTGAACCCGCCGTGGAATACAGTACGCTCTGGCCCAGACTTGGACGGAGTTAAGATGTGGAGTACATTGATGTGGATGCCAGTTCACTGTGGCTTAAGTCCGCCCAAAATGCTGGCGCCTGCGTGGTGCGTTGGTCACGGCCACCAAAGACACAAATTTTTGCGAACCCTCACATTTGGTGAACTGAAATTGCCAGGCCAGGGGAGGCTTGCAGCCAGCCAGTTTTCAAGCGGCGCGATTTGTGAAGCAGCACGAGCGCTGCATCAGAGCACCTGCGCATGCAAAACTCATCAAGGACGGGCTTCCCAATATATCGATGCGACCCGCTGGTGTGGACCACCAGAGGCGTCCCGCCGTGTAAGTCGGGGCCAAGGCACGACATGCATGTCGGAGTAATTGATAGCCGCCGCGTCCGACACCGCCGCGCTCGTCCGACGCTGCAGAGGGCGTCTCGCTGGGACGATAAGTGACCAGATGTGTCCATGGTGAGTCACGAATCAGCATGGCTGCACTAAACTGGCTTGTCACTGCCGTGTGTACGTCAGCGCGAAGCTATGTATTGCAGTGGTGCATGAGTCGTTACCCCATTTTCGTACCACGTTTGTAGCTGTTGGTCATCATTGTTAATTTGACCTGTGTGACGCGTCTTCTCGTGCTTGCCTTCTTCATTGCAACCTGATGGTTGTTTAACTGCTTGCAGCGCTGTCCGCCTACCAGAAATACAAGAAGCTGAATCCAAACCACTGGAAGGATGCTCCGTTTCTTTATGGCTACGGTCTTGTCTTGTACCATTTCAACGCCTACAAATGGTGAGTACCTCTAGGTCCTGTGTTGTGTGGAGTCAAAATGGTGTCATGATATTTGCAGCACGCTCGGTATCCCAAAGACGCAATGGGCCACTGCGTGAGCCCCTGTGAGCTCTCTGTACGCGAGCCAGTTACATCTGGCGACCTCACCTTAACCCGCACATGTCTGTACCGCGTTCCGTTTTAAGCGACGCTCTTGGAGAGTGTGCAAGCGGGACAGGATGTGGGGTGGCGGGTGGGCGCGATGTGACCGCGCCGTCGAAAAGCACGAAAGCCCCAATAACGAACTATGTGTGGACGGGGAAAGGTCATGTCAGTGTCTGCGTTTTATTTGACCCCGTAACTGTGGAAAAATAGACGGGTTTTGCAATGAAGTCAGGTGTTGTACAAGATGTCTACCCAAGTATTTTATATTAAGTAGGAATTTGTGTAAATATGGGATGGTTTCCACGAAGCGTTTGTTTACCAGGAAAGCTTGACGATCAAGATTTAGCCGTGAAGTGTTGGTAGTCAAAGGGAATGCTCCAAAGTTGAAGGTTTTGAAGCAAGCATCAGATATGGTAAAATAAGCTCACTTGTAACTTTTGGTATACTTCGTAGTGGAAAAGACTGCTGTTGGCAACACAGTTTGTCTGTTTAGTAAAGAGGCTCCTCAATACGTCATTATATTTGTATTGGCCTTGATCTTTTTGTTGTTTATTGGTGTTTTCGGGCGCGTCGACTGCAATGGTCATTTTACGCCCATAACTATATATAGGTCTTGATCGCCGCATGACTGATGAAATGGCGCTGTGGTGTCACGGATGCCTGGGTAGCCTTGAAATAGTCTCCCAGAAATGTCTGCACGTCGCGGGCGTCTAGCCCAGAAACCAGGGGGATTAGGTCTTAAGAAGGGCATGGTTGAGGACTGAACCGAATGATCTTCAGGATGGATACTTCACGTCAAAGCCGCATACAAATGTGGAATCCTCCCCCTTTAAAGATGCAAGTTACAGTAAAATTGTAACTTGCAGTTTTCGTGTTGTGTTCATAGGCTCACATAGTCCATCAAGTGTCATATTGTGTTGTATTATCGTGACATGTTGTGTCATGAGGTGCACAGTCTGCCGCATCGGCCCATCGTGATTGTACATTGACATTGCGGCATCCAACAGATGTGAAAACACACCGATGAACCCAGCCAACTTAAACTAGCCGGCCAGATACAGTTACACTGCTATGGCGCACACTGTACTTATGTGCCAGCTTGCACTATGGCATACCATAGCATTTCAATGTTCTTGATGTTGCACACAATACAGCAGCGAGGAAACGTGATAATTATAGTGATTGACTTACGAGTTCATCGACATAAACGTCGATTTGGTTAGCCACATACTTTTCAGCGCTTAATTTGGCCAAGTAGGTCAATAATGAATTATGAGAGACACAGCTATAATTGTACGTAATAGACAGAGGACTTTCAAACTATACTTGCTAGTAACGTGGAAAGAGTCAGACCTTTGAAAAGAGAGACACGTGACTGGAATCGAGAACTTCAGTCAATGAACCAATTAAACATTGCCTTATCATTCCTAGAACGCCTGTAGAATGCAAGAGAAACCTGGCCAATGTCTTAACAATAATCAGGCTCCTTCCATGTCCCGTGCCGCCCTGGTAACTGTTCGTCAGACCATTCCCAGCTGATCAACGGTTAATGCGATACGGAGCCAGAGCATGAACATAACAGTGTAATCAGAGCCAAATAGAGCGTATTGGAGCAATGCTGAAATGTATTGCTCGAATACGCTCTAAGAATTCCTGCCTCATTTTGGCGGGGAACATTGGGAGGTACACGAGCAACACAGTATGCATGCTTTGCCGGTCGCTAGCCACTGATTTGTTTTTTGTTGTTTTTTTTTTGGCCGCGACGCTGCCGTTCCTCAAATCGATATGGTTGCACCCTTCCTCGTAGTCGGATTACGAGTAATTATAAGCCATTTGTCAAGGCGAACCATTAGCCCATCCCGTGGTAGTGTCCAAATCAAGCTGCAGTATTCCCACATCCTGCCCGTAAACTTGTTTAACCTTTTAGACGCAGTCAGAAAACTTCTGTACCCTGAAATTGAATCCTTTGTCTGCTTGTGCCGTTCACGAAAATGACAGAAGGTAGTAAGCTTGAGGCAGAGTTCTGATGAACACCATTAGTAGCCTCCTTCTATTCCGAATTCACGCCATTGTATATAGGTCGTAAGTTAAAGCTCGCTGGTCGTTTATATGTTATCGTCGTAGAACACCCGCGAGTCTCCATTACTCTCTCCGTCTAAGCTGGGTGCCATGTGCTGCCACCTGGGATGGTCGGCTTACAAGTAGTGACGTCAGCCAGTAGATGGCAGGGCCGTCGTACAGCGGCGCTCCCCGTCTGCAGGCCATTTATTGACTAACCGATGAACCCTTGTGGCGGGTATGCGGGCAGAGTAAGCGGGCGGCCGACGGAGCCTGAATAGCTGCCCGTGCATTGACCCGGAACGCCCCCTAGAGGCTGCCATGTTCAGAGAGGCGTCATAGTTCGAAAGGCACCACACTCGCCAATGGCAGGTGGTCGCGTTTGGGAGATGACCGACCTTGCGCTGCTACATATACTATCAAACCGTAGATCTTACACTTTTACAGTCTCCATTTGTGCTGGTGAATGGTGGAAATTTGCAGAGTTGTCGCCGCAATGCCGTTAATCCCAAGCTTCCGCCAGGACGAACCCGTCCTGTGACGGGCCGCGGAGAGGGTGTCTCGCGACTGCGCGGGACCGCTGCGCCCGACTCGCGCGGCGCGGCCACTCGGCCCCCAGCACCTCCGTGCCGTCGGCCGTGCGGCGCTCGAGCCTCCCCCCGGGTGCGTGGCGGTGGACTCGCCCGCTCGCGCTTCCCCACCGCCTGGGCGTCGGGACGGAACAAAGCTGGCGAGCGCCGGCGGCCGCCAGTCCCGCCCGGGCGGCCCGAGAGGCAGGGTGCGCGCGCGCGCGCCGGCCACGCCGTCCGCGCGGGTGTGAGTGAGCGCGTGTCTGTTGCCGCGCGCAGTGCGTGTGTGCCTGTCAGCGAGCGAGCGAGTCTGCCGGACGTGCGCGTCCCACCCCCCACTGCCGTAACCAACACTGCCATTGTGCCCGAGTGTCTGCCGTCACTGTCCAGCGAGAGGAGAGCTGCCGACCGAGCCCAGCCAGGTACGTCGGCCAGCCGGCGGCGGCGAGCTCGTCACCCACTGCCCTGCTCCGCTGCTCTGCCGCCGCCCGGGCCGCAGACAGCGCGCGGCGGGCCGCACCACGCGCCGGCCGCGCCCGAGCGCGGCTGCTGTTTAGTTTTGCTATCGCATCTTATCGCCGACGGAGAGGGGCGGCCAACCCTCGACGGCGAGTGTCCGGGGATGACCGGGAGCCGGCAGCCGGGGCGCGCCTTGCGCCCGTCGCGCGCGCGTACGCGACGTTCT